AAAAAAAACCTAACCTCTAATCTGTACGAGAAAGCCCGAGCTAGGGAATTAAGGAAGGTTAAACTAGTCATGCCGAAAATCTTGACATTTAAATTAGGAAGATAAAAACCCATATTTATCCCATTATCTTTGCTCTTTATCCTAATGTGCTTGGTCGAGCTTGAGAGGCGGAGACTCGGACCTTGAGTGTGTCATACTTTGAATTTGGTTTTTGAGAGTTGATGTTGATGGGTGGCGAACCGCCCGGGATGATGAGTTCATTTGGTGAAGGTGAAAGAATTTTTTTTCTTGCTCCCAGGTGATAGCGCCGCTAAGGCATGTTCTCTTAGCGCAGCTATCGACCTAGCGCGGGGTTAACGACCCGCTGAACCTAGCGATTGGAATTGAAAGTGCAGCTAAGCGTTAACGCCGCTAGCGGTACCCCTCCTAGCGCCGCTTACCCTCCAGAATCTGCACCACGCTAGTGCCTCGCAAGCGAGCCTCGTCATGATAGCGCCACTAAGCACACTAGTTGTGCTAAGGCGAACCTATGTTGAATGCCATGCAAGTGCCACGCCAGCGAGCCTCGTCATGCTTAGCGCCGCTAAGGCCAGATTCCAGCCGCAATGAAATTCTTGAGCGCGATGCATGCCTTGTAACACATCGTCACCCCTCCGAGCATACATGACGCTGAGACTCCTTGGGACCTTTTGTACTACATTCCACATGACTTTCGAGTGAGCAACCGACTTGTGGTTGTCCTCGCATATTTCTATCTCGCGAATAAGGAACCGAATTGTGGTTACCCATTACGCTTTTGTATGCCGCTGACATGTCTCTTGAACTCAGTTTTGATCTATATATATTTACATTTAACAAAACCTTTTAGCTTAGCCTTATCACCCTTTAGCGGGATTAGGGATGCTAGTGAGACGATCTCATTTGGTCAAATAACTAGTGACAAACTCCTACGTTCATAAAGCAATAATGTGTCATAAAATTCAAAGTTCTTTAGGAAAATGATTTTCAGTATAAGGAGACCTTAATTTTATTGATTGGAAATATTAGGTTTCGGAGTCCTAATAGCTAGAAATATGTATTTTTAGGTTGAGGTGATATCATGAAAGCGAATTTTATTTTATTAGTCGACTAAATAAAAAACTCGGAATCCAAAGGGCGCGATTAGCTACAAATTAAAACCAATTTTGTTCAGTCGAATAATTTTGTAAAGTCTTTTAACTCAAAATCCAATTCAAATTTAATCCAATCTGCTATAGCATATAGAATAACTCGATAAAGTGGGTTATGTTGTTATGGAGGTTTAGCTCGGAGAACGGGGTTAGCGACCTCTTGGCGATTTGTGGTGTTGACAACTACCTATAAATAGACCAGAGAGGTTCTTATGACCTCTTGGCAACAGTGGATAAAGACCCCAAAGAGCTCATAATACCACGCAGTAGTAGAGGAGTTATTGACATGTAGTCCGTATATTCGAATGATCTCTGAACATATCGATTTAAGGGAAACCCTTACGTTACAGACCTAGGAATAAAGTATGGTTGAACTCTAAACGAAACAAGAAATATGTAAGGATTACGCATTTGGTTGATGACATGAAAAGTTATCTCAGAAGACTCTAGGAAAGTTATCTCAGAAGACTCTAGATCACCTTCATGATAAAATTGGGTCTCATGCAGACCTTGGGCAACAAGGGCACCCGGACAGCAAGATCAAACAGACCTTGTGCAGCAAGGTAAGATTATACTATATAGGTCTCAAGTATGAAAGGGTAGGGGATTTCTCTCTCGAGATTTTCAATATACTTACATACTTTATCATTTTTTTATAGTTTGAGAATTGGCTTCATCGTCGGAGATCTACCACCGGGAACACTCCCGACGTGTTTTGTAGGCCACTCTGGAGGTCACCAGTTTGAGGTCACTGAAAGGTTGGTTCGATGAGGAATTGCACATCAATTGGCACCAATCTACCATTTTTTTATAAGCACAAATCGGAGAAGACGACGATGGTTGACGAGAGCTGGAAGATGAACCTCAACAAAAATATGAAGGAGGCGTTGGTGACCAAATTTCCTTTCAGAGTTGGACCGCCGACTGGGTGGTCAAATGAGGGTAGTGCTTTGGTTACTCCCAGGACGAGATTGTCGGGAATGCTGAAGGTTGATTCGGTGAACTCAAATCTTGGGAAGGGGAAAGAAGTTCTCGTACATAGAGATGACAATGGAGCTTCATCAGAGCAACATATGGTGGTGGTCACGAGTGGACCAGAGGAAGAGGTTTAGCAGAGAGGTAGTATGAGAGTCGTAAGGTGCTCAAAAGGACCAGCTGGTGGATCAGGTGGAAGAGCAGAAGGTGAGCAAGTCATACAACTCACAAAGGTGGAGTTAGATCAGATAATTGCAGAGGCGGTAGGTAAGGCACAAAACCCCCCAACTCAGTCTGGTGGTAAACCAATAGGTGTTTAAGAGCAAGAGGCGAGAAGAAGAGGAAGAGGGGTGAGTCATGTTCCTGGTAGTAGCTAGTTCCCCGTGAGATGTGACCTTGGAGCGGATGGCGAATCGAATCAGGGAGCTCCAAGCTAAGATGTAGGGAATGAGGCAATCTCGTGTTCATGGTCATCCATTCTATGATGAGGTGTTGGGTGTGGATTTACCTCTCAACTTTCAGGAGACAAGTATGATGTATGACAGGTCTAATCCGGTCATGCATTTGCGTAGCTTAGAAAACATATTGGTGTTGCACGTTACAATTATGTTGTCTGTTGCAGAGCATTTCTAATTTATTTGAAAGACTCTACTCAAGATTGATTTCATTAGTTGCCTACATGGTTGATCTATAGCTTTGATGTGTTTAGCTCAATGTTCATCAACCAATTCTCTAGTGCAAGAAAGCATGAGAAGACCTAACTAACGTTGATCAATATGCAACAGTGTGAGAGTGAATCTATTAGAGAGTATGTCGCTAGGTATGTACGGGTTTGGGTGGAGGTACCATCAGCTTCGGATGAGAATATGAGATTAAGGAATGAGGTCTAACAAGATGTCTTCGGCAAGGTCATTATCAGAACTCATTGGCTGAAACAACCTGCTAGATCATATGTCGTGTTATTGGAATGTTGATCTAAATATATCAGTATGGAGGAGGCCATATAAAAATGTCTAGAGAAAAAATAAGGACCTGACGAGATGAGGTATGAAGGACGAGATAATAAGAATGATGAAAGAGGACGTATCGAATTCAAGTACGAGCACTACACGCCATTGGCATTACTTAGGTGGACGCTGGAGAAAAGGGAAGACATGGGGATGTTAGGAAAGCCCCAACCCCTACCTAAAAGGAAAAGACAAGTCCAGTTCGAGGAGATCCATATCGTATGCATCACCGCAATTATGGGCATTGGACAAACAACTATAAGGAGCTCAAGCATAAGATCGAGCGATTCATGTGTGAGGGTCACTTAAAGGAGTTTGTGGTTAATGATAAAGAAAAAAGAACAATAAGAAGTTCTTCGATAAAAGGAGGAGCCTTTAGAAGCCTGTGGACAGACGAACAAAAAGTGGTGTAATACATATGATCTCAGAAGGACCGACTAATGGTGACTCCTACAATACTAATAAGAAGTGTTATAGCATTATCTTGAAAAGGATGAAAGAGATTAAGGATGCTCATACCATGCCAATTTTACATTTGTTGCCGGAGGACGCAAGAGTATTTTTGTCCCCCATAATGACGCATTGTAATAATAGCTGAGGTTGTAGGCTATGATGTGTAGAGGATTTTCATGGATACTGGAAGTTTAGTGGACATTATGTTTTGTGAATGTTCTCGGGAGATGGAGTTAGAGGTTTTGCTGCAGCCCGTTAATACCTCATTGTTTGGGTTAGATGAGCTGGGTTGGTGCCAATGGGAGAGGTCAAGTTTTCAGTCGCATTGGGAGCTATCCCATGAAGTAGGATCAATATGATGAGGTTTTTGGTAGTAAAATCATAAACTACTTACAACATCATCTAAGGACGACCGAGTTTCAATGCTTTTCAAATTGTTATGTTCACAAATTATATGAAAATAAAGTTCGTGGTTCGTATGACATCTTTGGTCGATCCTTCCTCCATAGGTTAATATTTCACCAATATTTCGATCTATCGTTTTGGAGCATCTTTGCACAGATCATAATTTTTTTTTTCCAATCTGGGCGAGGTTTCTTTAACAACAATATTTTTTGATAATGAAGATGTTTTGTGGTCTCGACTAACCTTGAAGGTTGATCTCGACTCGAAGTTTGAATTTACTCATCGAGATCTTAGTGCCTGGCCCCCAGAATCTTAATTATGGCCCAACTTGGCAACCTATGCTCTACATAGTCATGATGAAGAACAAGAGAGTGACTTCTCGACTAAATAGGTTGGTCGTTGGGCTGAAGATTTCAAGACCTAAGGACAAGGTATGTGAAGAAACCACAAAAAATATCCTTCTCAGAGTCATGCTTAGATTGTCTGGCTATTCTGTAGACGTTATTATACTTGGACCAATTTCTCTGTCTTCTTCATGTTCGTGTTTAAGGTGAGCTAGTTCATCCGTATTCTTGTTGAAGGCGAGAAAAAAGGTTTTGAGTCTATATTTCGCATGGTGAGATGAGGCAAAAGGGTGATATTTGAAACGAGTGTTTAGGGAGTTTGGACATGAAAATTTACCCAAAGGGTCGGCTGTGATGCACTTTATTTAATGGGAGTAACTGGGCGAAGTAAGGCATTCAGACATGTTGTGGATTGAGTTTAGTGCTTTTGAAAATATTATGGAGCGTGTGACAATATACATGGAGAATCAACGGTAACCTTTTATGACAGTCCTTCATCTAACCTTATTTTGTTGATGGTAGACATCAACCAAAATAATGGGCGGCTTAATAGCATAGTTATCCAGTTTAGAAACAACACTTATTCAATATTTATGCAAGAACTAATATGTTTGTGGCCTTCAAATTAATGTAGAAGTGAAGAATGAGATCGTCGATCTAAAATAACATATCGACACAAAGAAAGAAACGTCAAATGTTTATCGTATTGAAAGATTTTTTTTCTTACGATTATGATGATGCCCATGTTATGAATCTCAAGGACTAAATTTATTCACATAAAAAGTAGGCAAGTAATTATGACTATGAGTCAGCTAAGGATGTGGGGAGACGCCACGCGTCCCCATCCAAAACTCTTCTTTTTTATGATAGGATGGTTGTGCGGTCACTTTAATATTTATTATTATTATTATTATTTATTTATTTTGTAGTTTTTTGTTCACACTGTATAGAGATCGACAATTTTCAAAGAGAATGAATAGAATTAAATGTGGATCAGTACATCGTTGGTTGTGTAGTTTTGGACAGTTTCTTTTCATAATTTAGGCCCATTTAGAGGCAGACCTAATTTTCTTTTTACAATTTTTTTATTAATTTCTTTGTATAACAATAGTAGTTAATATATAAATTAAATAAGAAAAAAAAAATAGTATATGATAATTTAAGAACATGAAAGGTAAAATAGTTTATGATAATTTCCAAAGAAATGTAAATTAGTTATAGGCTATCTAGTTACTTTAGAAAAAATAATGTTATCTGAACCTAATAATGAAACATGAAATATTGTCACATGAGATCTCAAAGCGTGCGAGCTTGCAATTTAAGTTCAAACACATTCGTAAATTATATATAGATGAATAAGTTTCTATTGCATATATGCAATATACATATCAAACATGATATAAGTAAATAAAATAATATTATTTTGTATATATATATCCTCCTTATATATTATTCCTGAATACCTGAGCCTACGTGGTTGCTTCTGGTGCTTCGAAATCCTATTTGGCAAAGAATCATGTTTCGTAATTAGGTGTGGACAAATAATATTGATATATTAATAATTAATAATTTAGGTTTGAACATTCCATAAATATTATTTAGCTTACTTAGGTATTTTACAAATATAACCCTTTATTTCTTTGTAATTTTACATACTGAGGCATTAAGTGACTAATATATCTCTGCCTTTTGATTTGTTTCCTTCAATTAGCTATTGAATTATAAATGTATTTTAAAAGTTGATAACTTTTGTATTTCTTATCGGGTTTACATATATAATATATCAAATTAATCATCTTTTGATGATCTTCGATTTGACATCCATATTGTATATATGAAATAAATAAATTATATTTATCTTTATAATAATAAAAAATAATAATATTTATTAAAATTCATTAGAAAAATAAAATTATTTCTCAATTGATATATTTATGCTTAATGTAGTTATATGTTGTAAGTTTAAAAAATTATTATAATATAACACACGTAAGTTGCACAAATAAAAAGTGTCATATTAAATATATAATAATATATATATATATATATATATTTTTATAAAAGATATTTAAAATTTCAACTACTTTTTTTCATTAATTTTAGATTTTAAGAAAAAATTAGCAAGCACTCGTGTAATACACAGGCATTGTACTAGTAATGAATGAATTAAGCATATTATCAATTTAAATTGGATAAGTGTTATATAATTTTAAAAGTTAATAAAAATCAAATTTAATATAGACGTCACAACTTCATATATGGGTGTTCAAATCATGAAAATGATATATAATGTTATAAGCACAAAAAACAACTTTTAGCCTTGGAAAACTCCTTATTTACATAGTGAGTGACTCCATCAAAATTTTGATCTGCCATCATACGAGGCTTTGGACTTTCGAAGGCACTAAATAAGAAACACTCCTTGGCATTCGTCTCAAAATGTAAAAGTTTATTTGACAAATACTATGCATATTAAGAATTAGCAAAATGTCAATCAGAGATATGACTTATTACAACTTTACTATTCCATCAATCAAGCAAAGAGAGAATAACACGCTTGCGTGTTTCCATTTCCTTTTAGCACTGCCTGCAAGTTTCTACACACAAACAATGATGTAGCATTCTGCAAATGAAAGAGACTGCTCGGCGTATCACTAAAGGCATGTTCTGCACGCACGACATAGAGCACTGAATCTCCTAGTTAACTTTCAATGAGAGCACACAAAACATTTTGGAACTTTGATAACATACTTGGAACTTTTAGTAGATAATAATTTATCCAATGCCAACTCTCCTCGAGTAACTTCAGGTTTTTTGACCCTAAGAAGCATACAACAATTATAAAACCAAATCGGTCTCAATGTTTAAGAATATGTAGGCCATACTCACAAATTTTCCAAGCCTCATGAAGCAAACTCGGGTTAAGTGCATATTACACCAAAAGATCTTATGTGTATTACGAACTCGGGTTCAAGTTCTAGGACGGATTGCCAGACATGCATATATTGTCTTTCCATGGAATCACTTTTCCTTTGGTCTCTACCCGTAAAGGATCGAGTAACAAGCCCACCACTCACGAGCTTTGCACCCTAGGAAGGATAGCCAGACATGCAAATATTCTCTTTCCACGAAATCACTTTCCTTCGGTCTCTACCCCTAAAGGACCGAGTAACAAGCCCACCACTCACGGGCTTGCAAAGCCCAATATCAATCACTGAAGAAAAACTCGACTTGGAAGACGATAGGTTCCCATCCTCCAGCAAGAAGTCGAAAAGCATTGCGAGACAAAGCACTTGATGACCAAGCAATAGATTTTCTTGAGCGAAAGGCATCATCTTTACAAGGTGCACATTGATCTACACAAAATCAGATAAATTCTTTTTAGAAGGTGAATGAAACTAGCAAAATTTAGTATTGCCAAAAAAGAAACAAATATAAGAAAAGAGCAGGTGCGAGAAAGAGAGAGAATTGTCTCACCTCTGCCTCCATTGCACAAAGTTCATTCAAAAACTCCGAACATAATGCCCCAGAACTATTCTCCCCTCGTAAACAGCTGTACAGACGCAACCCAAAATGGGGAGGCCTAAGGGGATACTCCAAGCTTATTTTTATCTGACAAAAGATTTCATTTTTATTATATATTCCTTTTCTCAAACAAGTGCACGAAAAAATAGTGCAAGCAAAATGAAAAATGAGTGAGAACAATTAGATCTAACCTTGGCTTCGAGTTTTGTGATCCTTCCATCATTATCCAATTTCCGAATCAGCACAAGACAATATTCTCGGATCCCATAGTCAACCCATAAATTGTCAATCACTTCCTGCCTTCCAAATGCATCATCAGATGCTTCCTCCGCTTGAACCTGCTCATCCAGCTCGTTTTCTGAGTCCAGCATGAAATCAACATCTTCTTCCTGTTTCTTGAAGCTGGGTGACTTTTTTGCAAGTGGGGATATAATGCTATTGGAAATCAAACTCAACCTTTCCGAGCGCATGAGCTCAGATCCTTTACTGGGGGTGAGGAGATTAATGTCATTTACGCCAGCAGCGGCGGCAACCAGAGATGGGAGCTCGCCATCTTCTTTTGTGGGCTCCGTATCCTCGTTGGACATCTCGATTTTTCCATCAGCATCTATTGGTATGGGACCTTGCTCTGTTTCATCCATGGGCAAAGATGTACTGTTGCCAGTGGAAGTAATACACCAGGCATACAAGTTGCATTTGGGCTTGTATGAGGCCCATGGGACAGACTCGCAGGTCAAGGTTGGCCATTTAAGGTTCCTTAGCGAGTCAAGTAACTCCCTGTAGGTTCAGCCATGATGTACCAAGTTTTAAATGGAAATATTACGTTCGTATAGGGTGCAGAATAAATCAATTAATGTCAAGGACAGGTCAAAATTATGCCAGAATAACCACACAGTATGCAAGTAGATATTAATATATGATCGCACGGCACAAATTTGAGTACAATATCAGATAAACTCATCAATAAGTCAATAACTTAAAAAGTTCTTGAGCATTGAACATGGAACAGGAAGTACTATCTAATCCAACTAAATATTTTTTGTATGTCTACAAGATGCAATAAATGTTGCGGTTCTACGAACAAAGATTTCAGGACAGTGACTCACGCAAGAGCCAGCTGAGCCTTTATCCGGTCACGAATCCTTTGCACAACTGTTCGTACCCTGTTTTGCTGACGGTATAGAGACAGACCCGATGCAAAAGAAGCAGGTTTAGCAGTTGCACTATTTGATTCCTCAGTGGCCGAAACCAGTGGCGGTACCTCTGGCAAAACATCGATGCCAGCCAAGTGCTGTGCCCATTTGTATGGTCTTGAAGTTCTCTTTTCATTAAAAGAAAGAGAATCTTTAATGCGGAGCTTTGCTAACTGCAAGAAGTTGCAAATGAATTTTATTAGTAGTGGAATAAAACACGTTTTGCATTTGATAATGGTCGATAACTGAATATCAAACCTGCTGAGGGAGCTCGAGGCCAGTGTCATTCGGAAATAAGTTGCTCAATATACCGTCTTGAGAAGCTTCGTCAGAACCCTCCACACCAACACACACAACGTTCAACTTTACTAAGAATTCAAACTTCAAGGTGATGAGTTTAGTTGAATTTACTTCAGAACCCTCATCATCATAGACATGGAGGGTAAGTTTAAGTGGATGACTTTGACATATACCAGCCTGTTCAAGACTCTCTTTGCTGGGAACCTTCTTCGATCGTTTTCTCCTTCTTTGACCATCATCTTCCTCATCTGGCATGTCATCCTCTATCTTGGAGTTTTCCAAATTTGATGCTATATCTGAAATAACAGATCAAATATAATATAGAAATCCTTCAAGCACCCAACATTCACATTATATTTATATGTACTTATCATGAACCATGAACATTCATAAGACACACCCATTATACATACACCCATCTACATGCATATGCACACACACAGGCAAAAAATCAAGTAGTTATCCAGCGAAGACTCATCTTACCAGCCAAACTGATAAATAGACCTACAGCCGATCTAATCTAATCAGCACATAAGCACACAAGTTTTAAGTCCCGACTCCTATTTAATTCAAGCAAGTTGCTTCCGTAAGTATCTCGAGGTGATAATGATGACAGAAAGATATATAACACATGCACAGCGCAAATACATATATTGTATTAGTAAAGTATGGAAACTTCATTAAACAAAATAAGGGGATTATGAGCACGCTTTTTCTACCAGAGCCCTTGTTGGCTAGCTGACGTGCAAAAGCCTGAGCATCCTTCACACTTCCTGTGATCTCCAGCTCAATGTTCTCTCCAAAGGCTTCCTTTTGCGCAAGCAACTGAGAGTAGACAACATACAGAGGAGGTGGAAGCAGCTCCGCTAGTTGCCGCTGCTTTAGTTTCTTGGTATGCAGAACCCCTAACTGATGCTGGACAGGCAAGGATGCTTTCTTCAGAGCTTTGAGGTGTGAAGGCAGACTTGATAAGAACTTCTTCCTGTTGGTAATTGTCTCTTGGAGAGCTTTCTTTTGTTGTTCCAATTTCTCACGAAGTGTGCACAGTTCTTTTCTCTGAAACGGTGAAACATACCAGTAACTAAATTGGATGCGTCAAACGGCTATGAGAAACACGCACACGGATGCAAGAAGAGACAGATCAAGTGGGAGATAACAGAATACAAGACCAGACTACAAGTGGAATTCATGCATATCAACCAGGTATATTTTTTGCAGTTATGTAGCATGACTAAGGATTATATCCAGGTAAGGTATGGTTTATGGTAAGTAGAAAATATTGAAAATACATCTAAAGTAGAACCTCTTCGACCAATTCAGAACTTTAGCTACAAATATACTAAGAGTAGAAGGGGAAAAGGAACAGAAAAAATGAAAAGGACACTTCTATGATTGTTCAGGCTAATAATTGTTTTAGCCAACTTTTCATATCACAAAAGCCATTCTGCAATGATAAAATTGTCTAGCAGATCCCGGAATTCTGCGAACAAATATTTATGATTTCTTTTCGCAAAGTCCTGGTGCTGTGGTGCAATTAAACTAATGAAGACCCTGAATATAGCCTCCAGTAAACAAGCCAACATTTTAGTTAATCACATTTTATATCTCAACAATCTAAAAGCAGAGGTATATTACTCTCTGACTCAACCTAGAAGTAGCACTTTGGATGCATGAAGGGTGCATTAATCTTACGCTTACAGACTTACTATTCATGCACAAACAGCTGATAGTGGTGGGTCAGGGTCCTCTGGGAAAGACCATTAGACGATGAGAAGGGCCACTGTTGCAATTAACTTAATTACGCAACAAAAATAACTTGCCTGATACAGCTCATAGTTGAGCCTCTTAAGCATCAAATCATGTGCGACATCAGCTGACAGTGTGGAGCTCTTGATATCTTCGGTCACGTCTTTAAAGAAGTCTTCCTCAGGTACAAGTTCAATGTCAGGATATTTGGTCTTGAAGTCTTTGCAAGCTTTTATTGCTTTGACATAGTGATTTTTCTCATACATCAAGTTATGGAGCTGCAAGGTCGTCAGGTCCACAGGCGCTTTTGCTCGTTCTGTTTCAGCTTTCACCCTATCTTCTTCAAGCAAGATAGACCTATTTGCCTGGTTCAGAAGTACCCGGCACTGACTAAGCTTAAATTACGACAGCGTACCCACCACATATAAACTATTCAGAACAAGGAAGAGCATCCGAATGGCAGAAGTTCTACAATTGAGGTTACAAAATTTGCTAATAGAGCTGAACACATCCTCACAATCTCTACTTTCGGTTTTGTAGCTTCAATTTTACACTCTTTCACTGATATATCAAAGTACTCCAATACCCTACTTTAAAACCTCTTCTGTGAGCTGTTTAAATTAGACAGGCTACAAACAAAATCACCGAGCCCCTGAATCAACATTAACCCTAATTCGAATAATGTCGAGGTTCAAAGAGCACGTGAAACTTGAGAGTAAACAATATGCATAGAGAACGACAGTTCTAAGAAGAGACATGACTGTTGGGATTAAATCAGACCTGGCGGAGGTTCACAAAATTGAGAAGAACTTGAGTGACAAGTTCCCGGAGCTGGGATTTGGGTTGAGCTTCTTTCTTGAGAGACAGCATTTTAGCAACGATTTCCTCCGAGGAGGCCTTGCTCCGTCGCAGCATATCGTACAACGCTGCCATGTCGACGTTGCGCTCCGGCAGGATTTCGCCGGGCTCCGCCATTGCGGCATCCATTTTGTGCGGTTCTATTTTAGCTGCCTTTACTGAAATAATGGCTCAGATCTGTTAAGGAAAAATAAAGAGAAAATTATTCGGTTTAGTGAGGGCTTGCTTCTTTGTCAAATAATTCTTCAAAATAAGTTTTTTTTTTTAGTTAATTAGAGTTAATTTCAAAAAATATAGTATGATTAGTTGTTAGTGAGATTTTAAAAGTGTATTAAAATTAAAATACAATGATTATTATATATTGATTTGATTTAAAAGTGAGAGATTTAAAAATTATTTGAAAATATAGATAGTTAAAATTATGTGATGAATAGTGAATTAAAGTTGATGTAATGTGTGAAAGTGATTGGTTTATACTTTATATTGTTTAATTATATGAATAATATTAAGGATAATATGATTGAGTAAAATTTAAGTTATATTTTGAGTATGGAATAGATGTGAGTAGGCTATCTATACTTATATAATAAGTTATCATATTTACCAAATTTAGTAGGTTGGAAAGTCAACGAAATTAATACATTGCTCTTTCTATCCATAATTTTATATAACTATTTTATTTATTTGTCTTATATCCTATAAAATTGATTTAAGAAAAAAAAAATCCTATGACATATTTACTAAAAAAAATAATTTTATATAATTATTTTATTTATTTTTACATAATTATTTATTTTATTTTACTTTTATTAAAAAAAAATACCTAAAGGTTATTTTATTTATTTGTCTTATATCCTATAAAATTGATTTAAGAAAAAAAAAATCCTATGACATATTTACTAAAAAAAATAATTTTATATAATTATTTTATTTATTTTTACATAATTATTTATTTTATTTTACTTTTATTAAAAAAAATACCTAAAATCTTTACGTCAAAACATCGATTCTGTCAAAAACAAATCCAATAAAATCGGTGATGTCAAAAATTATACGTAAAGTATATATCTATACTAAAAAATGCACATTCAAAATTCCTTATCTAATTCCTTTTATTATCTAATTGTATGAAAATTTGTTCTGATTTTGTTCAATCATCTAATTGTATTTGTCTTATATCCTATAAAATTGGTTTAAGAAAAAAAAATCTCATAACATCCGATAAGTAAAAAAAAGTACGTAAAATATTTACTCAAATAAAAAAAGCTTTATTTATTATCTAATTTTATGGAAAGTTGTACTGATTTTGTTCAAACCGATTTATGTATATTCAGATTTTTTTAATAAAAATATTAACATCAATATATATCTAATCTACCCATTATAAATTACAAATTTCAAAATATCGAGTCATTATCTTCCTCACTGTCAACATCATGTAAATAACAAAATATCTTCAATCAGACTTTTATTCAAAACAACAAATAAAGGATTTGACTTAATCAAACAAGTCAATAGGTCTAATAGACATATGCTCATAGTTCGAATTATGAAAATGTTTGTCCAAGACTGGGGCAGCACATACATATCATATATCTCGAGTTGATTCTGCATGATAAAACTGTAAGCCAAATTATTATTATTTTTTTAAATTTCGAACTTTAAAACGTATATTTTTATTTTTATTTTTTTATATTTTCGTGTATGTATTTAGATATTTTTGTACATATTTTTTATGTCATAACCATAAACAAGAGTCAAGGATAATCTTTATCCCACGTTGGTTTTTTTTCTAAAGAAACTTGCCTTTAGTCATGGCCAATGATATGTTGTTGTTTCGCGTGTAACTAACAGAAGGGGTTGAAGATATTAGTTTGTGAGAATGAGGAGTTTCCCAATAATCAAACTCATAATGTTGTGTACAAGGAGGTCTTTAATAATATATGATTGTTTCTTTGTCGAATACTATTTTATTGTACAATTTTACTGCGTATTGTAAAACTTTTATTGAATATTGCATCTTATAATATAATAATTCCCAAATAAATATATCTCGTGCCTCGCACATGTCACGTACTATATATATCTCGTACATTTTTCTTTATTCATTTATATATTTATAAGGCTGGATAAATGACCTTAAAATTGTGCACCCCATGCATCGCATGGGTTCTGTACTAGTTTAATAAACAAACTTGCCTTAAGGGGTTTTATTCAATTAAGATTTTAAAAAAAATAAAACTTTAAAAATTTTATGTATTAAATTTTTGTTATATTTTATAAAATTTAAAAAAGTCTTGGGGTATTCATTTGAGATATTAAAATATCTTACAAAATATTAACATATTGATTAATTTTTTTTAAGATTTTATGAGATTTCTAAAAAACCTTGTACAAAATCTCACTTCAAATTTCACCTCCAAACTTAAGATTTTACATAATTCATCTAAAATCTAAAAATGTTAGAATGTTTCACATCTTAAAAAGTCTAAAAATGTCACTTGAAGTCTCAATTAAATACACTACTTAGAATGTATTCATTTCGAATTTGTAAAGACTTTATAAATCCTGATATATTGAATCTTGACTTTTAAATTTTTAAATGTAATGATGTATTCATTTGATATTTTACAAATACTAACAAATTTCTGAAATATTTAACTTTTTTAAAACTATGATTCGTTAAAACTTTTTAAGATTTGTTAGGATTTCTAAAAATAAAAAATAAAAAAAGCCCATTTCAAATTTCATCTCCAAACATAAGATTTCACATGATTCCTCAAGAATATGAGAATCTTATAAAGTATAAAATCTGAAAAAAAAATCTCAATATATCACTCAAAATTCCAAACGAATACACTACATAAATTTTCATTTATTTGATCATTTAACAAATTTTTTATTGAGGAACCCGTCGTCTAAGTTTTTCACAACACCAATTTAAAAAGTTAATTCTTTCACCTTTGAAATACTAAACATACTATACGACATATAAATATAATTGATAAAGTGCGAAATATTTATGCGGATAAACAAGGCAACATACAAACGAAGATAATTGATAATTTACGAAATAATTATACGATAAACTACGCGACATACACACAAAGATAACGGATAAAGTGCGTAATGATTATGCAATAAACCTAAAGAAATATAGTTGATAAAGTAAATATACGAAATAAATTGAGTAAGTGCAAATTACTTATGCGATAGACTATGCTACAAACAATCGAAGATAATCGAGCAAATGTCTCATTATACGATAACTATGCGACAACATGCGATGTTAATTGAACAAGTGCAAAAATGTGATAAACTATACAATAGACAGGTGAAAATAATAGAACAAGTCACGATGCGATTAACTATGCTATATAGATACAAAGTTAATCGAGCAAGTGCGAAATAATTATACAATAAATTATGCAACAGAACGACGAAAATAATTAAGCAAGTGCGATCTCATTATGCGATAATATATGTAAAAATAGGTAAAGTTAATTAAAGAAGTGCGTAAAAATTATGCGACATATGGACAACTAATATGCAGAAAATTGTGTAAACAGTCAGTCAATCAGAGTCTGTCGAATTTTAGTATCAACCTCCTTCACTTGATTCTATTATGCCGTATAACTCATCGTATAATTTGTTTCACACTTTATCAATTATTTTTGTAAGTTTATCACATAAATATTTTACTTTATGAACTATTTTCGTTTGTCTATCTCATAGCTTATCGCACAATTTATTTGACACTTATTTGATAAAATAATTAAGTTATTAATTGACAATATGAGAAACTAGTCCGCCGCGTGAAAATAGTTTATTTTATTGTTACGGTGTTTAACTCCATTTTAGCTTTTCCCGCAATCTTAGCCAAATTACCCTCCATTGTCCGGTCAAATTTTTCAGTCAACCCCTTATTTCACCCCTAAACAGGTTAACAGACATAGGTAGGAAGAAGACAGAATCCCAATGAAGAACCTTTTAATTTTGACACAACACAGCACAGGCATAATAATTTAAAGACACCATCAATTGACCATCAATAATGCTCCTTCTCCCGTTTGTTTTCCCCGCATTAAGCACTCCCAGATGTGTCAGTCTAATTTTCTTTTTTATTTGACCAAGGAAAAAAAAAACAAACTTTAATAAAAGTTTTGCCTAATCTCTCTCTCATTTTCTTTTCATCTTCTATCACCTTCTTCCCCAATTTTTTCTCACTCACGTTTTTCCCCAATTTCTTGCCTAAGATATGTCTAATGTCTTCTCTTATTTTTGTTGTTATTTGGAGAACCAACTTCAACCGCTCGACCAAATCCGGATCCGCAATGAACAGCCGCCCGTAGGCAACCAGGTCTGTAATGAACGAGCCTCTTTGTCTGGGCTTCTGTTCTGGCCGGGCTTTTGCGTCATGTGCACGTACGCGAGCCTCGATTCTGAGTCCACGACGTTGAGATGGTCGATTGCGGGCGAGATCCGAACTCCGGCCCGGGCTGGCCCCACGGCTGAGGTCACTAATTGGACGAGATCCGAACTCCGTGTATCTCAAGTTTCTACGGTTCTACCGCTCAGAAGTGGTGGCGACCTTTGAGGGTCTCTTTGTGTTCTTTTTTTTTTTGGTATAAATTGAGATTTAGTGCTCAATTTTTCTTGAAGATGCTCCCTACATTTCATTTGGAATATTCCTACTTATAAAATATTAGAAATTGAAAACAAACAATGATGATGGGCAGAGAATATCTCTGTAACTCAAGTTTTAATGAACAACCAAGTTACTTACTCTTGCCCCATAAGGAAAAAATAATTCCTCTCTGCACATGCTCCTCCATACACAAGTTTTTTATTTCATTAATAACTAAAAAAACTAAATATTCTATGCCTACAACTAGATTCAAAGTGTACAATTTTTTTACGTATTCAAAATCCCTAAACTTGTAGTCATAATAAATAATAAAAACATAAATAAATGATATAGTTAAATTCTGTAAAGCAGGTTTAATGAAATCCCTACAAGTCTACAGCCATACCTTGAATTAGAATTAGACGGGAACGAAATAGCTGAGAGGTACAGAGGGTTTAAAACTTTTAATGAGATATAATTAAGAGATAAAGAATAAAGACTTTTAACATGACTTATTTGTCTTTTGTACAAAATAAATATATTAATCTTTTAACAGGTCAGGACACGTCAGGGAGTGGGTTTTATGGAGTAGATATTGGAGGGGGCTATAGCGGTACCGCCGTACGAAACCGCAACATTTCCCGTATATATAACCAAATAACCACCACACCCAAAATCATTATTCACATAATTTTTTTTCATGTAGTAGCTAAGCCCACTCTTATAAGTCTCTCTCTACCGCTCGCCCGACGGTCCTTGCCTGAACCCCATTTCCCGTTCCTTCCCCTGCTAAAGAATGCCGGAGCTGGAGGGCTTTCAGGATTCAAGATCGGGCTCGGCTGCTCGTGATTTGAGCCCGGATTCTGTGATTTTCACCGTCGAGTCTTCCAACTTCAGCCTCTTCTCCTCAGCTTCAGCTAGTGTCGAGCGCTGCTCTTTTGCATCTGATCAAGATTTTGCTGCCTCTGTAATTTTCTCGAGAAAATTTTGGCCTTGTTTTTTTTTTTTTTT